AAAATAAAGTTTGAAAAAAAAGACATTGAAATGAGATTGTGATTGAAAAGAAACATAAACAATCACGACTTTACGTTTCATAATTAATATTTTGATATTTAAACTTTATCAATTATATACTTATGATGGCCGCATTTCAACGTTTTCAACAAATTTTAAATCGTTTAAAACAAATATCTGTAACTTAAAATATTGAATCAAACGTATAAAAAAAAAAAAATAGCCGAACCGAGCCGTAAAACCATTTGGTATGGCATGACTGTAACACAAAAAAGGTATTAAAAAAAAAAAAAAAAAACCGAGCCAAACCATAAAGCCGTTTGGCTCAGTTTATGGCTTGTGAACAGTGGAGGCAAAGTGCCTATTTTATGTTTAGTTAGATAACTGTCATATCAAGTACAAAGAAGGAAGAAAAAAAATTCGACGGATTGGAGAAATGTCGATTTATATGTTAAATTTGGTTTTCTTGCTTGTAATTTCTTCTTAATGTAGAATTGTCGAAACACGGACACAACGAGATACTTCAAATTCTTTAACTAAGAACGTGTTTGGCCAAGGTAATTTTTTTAAACTGATCAAAAATACTTTTTATTTACACATTTTGTAAGATCCCACCCATTTATTATCCTCACATTCTGCACTATAAGCATTTATATAAGCTTTGCCAAACATGCACTAAAAGGCTAAAAGAAGTCGAGGAAAATTTGGCAATCATACCAAAATGTCTACCAAGTCATGAGTAGCAACTGCCCCAAATTATGTCCTGAGGACCATCCAAGTCTTCCTATGATATTCTAGTCTCCACTTGCCAGCCACAAACAACTGGATCCCTAAAATAAGCCAATTATTTTATATAAGCACCAGCCGAGATATAAATACTGACCCTGCTGAGCTACAACCACTAGCGGCTGTTGCCACCCACCGCCCTTAAGTGGCCGGCAAACTTTCCATTTCAACATCAACCAACTTGCAGTAGGGTACTGTTTCAACTCATTTCACATCCATCAACCTTGCACTCTCAAGAGAGACTAGAAAATGACCATAACAACATAGAACTAACATTCAAAACAAACTAGACACTATAAAATGCAGCAGTGGTTAAACATTCACTGATAAATGGCTCCACTTTGGATATTTATGGGGGAAAAATACTATAGTACAGCATCTCTCAATATAAATCTTTTTTGTTGGAGTGAGGCTGTTCTGTATTTCAAGACAAGATAATTATCCGTTTCAGATGGCAATGGATCAATGTACAATAGAAACATTAAGTACAATAAATCTGCAACTAGACTCTAATTTAGAAAATATATTCATTATGATTTATACTGCACATAACGAGACCAGACACGGACCTCATTGAAAGTTTACAAGGCAACAATAGAAGGAAGTTCCAGTTCCACCTCAGGTTCTCCTTCAGACCCATATGCAGATGCCTGTAATGCAAAATAAACATAAATGCACCAATATAGATACTGATTTATATCAGAGAGGAAAAAGGGAAAATATCGAGATGTCTTTTGCAAGATTCCCATACCTCTGAATCCTTGTGTTTTGAAAGATAGCGGTCCAATGCCCCCTTACCGTAAAGAATTTTAGCCCCACATCCATGTTTTTCAAATCCAACGGATTCCTCATCTACTACAACAGCATCTATTATATCATCTCCTGTTCTAACATCAGGAATCTGCAAGACATAGATTTATAATCTACCATCAAACAGGAAAAATCGAGAGTGGGAAGGAGGAAAATAAAATAAGAGAGAATTCCGTATTACACACTAAATTAAAATTGCATTGATCGAGTGGCATTTGTCATGTAAAATAATGGCTCAATTAACTACTTTCTGTTCAGACACGTGATATGGCTAATTTTCTTAGAGATGTATGACCAATGCTTCAGACGACGATCTGTTCTCAACCTTTAACTAAGTCCCACCAGCTAATGATATCATAGAGGTAGCATCGTCCGAAATTCCTTGATTTTTATAAAATTCAGAAGAGGAATTACAAACCTCATACATAGCATCCATCAAAACATTCTCCAACATGGATCGCAAACCCCGAGCTCCTGTATTCTTGGTTATTGCTTTCCTAGCGATCAATCTCATTGCATCTTCTGTAAAATGAAGCTTCACCTGAGAAATGAGCAGCATCATTCAAAATGTTCAGCATGGAACATTACCTTTGACTATAACAAGACACCATGTATTGAAGCTCATTAATCCTCCCCTTACTTATCCACCCCCCCCCACCAAAGAAATAAAAAGGAAAGATAAGAAGTACACCCCACAGGGAGACATTAAATTAATCCCTTCTCACTAGATTGCAATGGAGGGATGTGAAAACTTACTTCATTCATTCGGAACATCTTCTTATACTGCTTTCCTAACGCATTTTTAGGTTCTGTTAAAACCTACATAAATAATAATTAAAAACTCATGCTGCAAGAGCCATTATACTGAAAGTTAAATTTAATAATATAATATTCTCACATTTGTCTGACAAATCTTTGTGAGAAAAGATAAATATAAAAAATTTAACGATTAAAAAAAAAGAAATAAGATTCAAAAACTTAACGGAATAATCAAAGAGCAATCAACAGAAAATCCTGTTCAGAACGATTCTGACAGCAGTCAGCAAATAAATCTATCTGTTCTTGTTATCATCTCTCAATGGCTAGTGAAAGTAACATTGTAATCACCATAACCTTCAAGTCGAGAAGGAAATAGCATTACAGGAAAACTTGATTCTTGAATACAACAAATAAAAAACACAATGATTTTGCAAATAAAATTAATACCTGAACAAGTTGATCTTCAGTAAGTGCTGCCAAATTAACAAGGATGGGAAATCGTCCAACAAACTCAGGTATTAACCCATACGCAATTAGATCACTACTTTCAACCTGCAAAACACGATAATTCAAAGAGAGTGACAACTATGCTTTCATGTGGGTAATCGTCATATAACAAATAGTCATTTCTGCCTGTCAGGCTCTGATGCAGCCATACACCAAGGTTATTATATCATGCAGTTAGTCTCCAGCATATATGGTGTACATAAAAGAGCCGCTATCTACACATACAAGCAAGAAAGGATGTTAAGCAGTTATGAGGCTCACAGTTTCTAGTAAAGATGATGCCACAGCAGCACTTGTAACATGGCCTGTCCTTATGTTTGCCCGTACAGGTGCGCCAAAACCAATAGAAGAATCATGACGCCTGAAAAGAGTATAGGTAAACAATTAAAAGGTAACACCGCAAAAGGATAGTTTAGAATATTAGAGTTATATGGACCTTTCTGAGATCGTTTTTTCCAAATCAATGAAGGCACCACCGCATATAAAGAGAATATCTTTCGTATCAATCTGTGAAAACATAAAATCAACAAGTAATGAAACATTAGGATGCATAGACCATGTATGGCTTGGTACAAAGTATGAGGAGTCAATTTGAAGACAACATCTGGATTAATCTTGAAACAGCAGAATGGACATGC